AAACAAAACAAAAAAACCCCCATTAGATTGATCAAGGTAGATTAGGTAAATTAGGTAAATACCTTAAAATTGACAGACAGATTAGGTAAATAGCTTAAAATTGCCAAGACAAGATAGTAAGCTCAGCTAGTAAAATGTAGACACAAATTCTGAACCTAGATTGTCTGACCCCATATTTTCTCCAGAATGTGTGTGTGTGTGTGTGTGAGTTTTGGGGTCACAATCAGCAGTGCTCAGGGGCTACTCCCAGCTGTTTGCTGAGAACCAAGAGGTACTAGGGATCAAACCTGGGCCTCTTGCACGCAAAGCTTATGCTTAATCTGTTGACACCCTAGGGTCCATGTTTATTTGGTTTTTCATCAAAGAGGATAAAGTGGTAGAATCACAAAGATGTGCTAATGAAAGACCAATATAAAATAAAAGTTTGATGGTCTGAAGAAAAATTAGGCTAAACTATTTTTAAAAACTGGATTTAGAATGGCTCAATAACAAGAGAGATCAAGTACAGATCAGGTTCCTTCTTTTTTTTTTTATCTTTTTGGGTCACACCCGGTGATGCACAGTGATTACTCCTGGCTCATGCACTCAGGAATTACTCCTGGCGGTGCTCGGGGGACCATATGGGATGCTGGGAATTGAACCTGGGTCGGCCGCATGCAAGGCAAACACCCTACCCGCTGTGCTGTCGCTCCAGCCCCACACGGTTCCTTCTTAACCGAATCTCAACAATGTCTACATTATAGAACTGATTTGGAATACCAAGAAAAAGTTTTGGTTTGGAAATTAGGGTTAAATTCCCAAGATAATATGGATATTTGTCTGTATTTACCAATGTTCTCAAAATCCCTAATTATATAAATTATATAATTTAAGTTTATTGCAGAATGCAATGAACTTTTGTTGAAATAATGAAAGATCTGTAAGAAGTACTTTCATTTGAATATTTCTGAAATCCATAAAATAATGGGGTAGGGGTTGGAGAGATAGTACTCCGCCAGGAGTAATTCCTGAGTGCAGCGCTAGGAGTAACCCCTGGGTGTGATCCAAAAAATAAAAAATTAAAAAAAAAGTGCTGGAAGCTACTTCCAGTACATAGCTCAGTGGTTGATCCCAGCAGTGCTCAGTGCTCAAGTGCTCAGAGGACCATGTGGTGTCTGGCATTGAGCCTGTGCCTTCTTAGTGCAAAGCATGTGCTCCTGTCCTTAAATGATCTCTTTGCCCCTACAGTGAACTCTTTAAGTCATTAACTCAAAGAAATAACATAGTACTACAGAAGTAACATAGAAAAGTCAAAATTTGGAAAGTATAGACTTTTCTATGTTACTTCTGTTGTACTATGTTACTTCTTTGAGTTAATGACTTAAAGAGTTCACTCTAGTACAGCAGCTGGTAGGGTACTTGCTTTGAACGCAGCAGACCTGAGTTCAATCCCTGGCACTACATATGGTCCCCTGAGCACCACCAGGAGTGATCCTTGAGCACAGAGTCAGGAGTATGTCCTGAGTCCTGCTGGGTGTGGCCCCCAAACAAAGCAAAAACATAAAATTGACAATAGAGAAAGTGTTAGGATATTCTTTTTAATACTAAACATATCGCAAAAAAAAGTCTTTACTTTGCAAATTTTGATAGTATGTATTCAATCGAAACACCACATAGAGAACTGCAGTAAAGAGTAAAAGGAGAGAAAGCTTTTGGAAGGCAAGCTAGCCTTTCTGCAGAAACACTTTTAAGAATAAAAGCCAGTTCTATGGACGTTTCTTCTATTTTTCATAAGCATTTCTAATATTTCTTCTTTGATAAAACCAATGAATAGCTGCCACTTATCACAAAACATCTTCCTGCAGATATGTGCTTTATACGTTGCTTTCTTCTGAACAGACAGTTCCTCAAGTGGCTCAAGTATTCTCAGCTACAGCAATTTTTCTTATTTCTATTATTATGTATTTCGCCCATAAAATAGCATTAAGACCAATTCAATAAATTCCTTTGCTTTCCAAAGACAGTTTCCAAGCGAGAGTGCAACTATATCTCAACCAATATTTTAGCTATATTTTCTCTATTTCATTGTTCCACAACCTTTTCTTCAATAATTCTTTTTTCCTTTCTCTTTAGGCTGCATCCAGCAGTGGTCTAGGAATATTTCTGCCTTTGCACTCAGGGATCACGTCTGGCAGGCTCGGTGGACCTGATGGGGTGATAGGGATTAAAGTGGAGCTGACTGTGTGCGAGGCAAGTACCTTACCTGCTGTTCTATCACTCTACGCCACTTTAATAATCTTAAACCGTAATTTGTCAGAGTAATTATATAATACTTTCCCTCTACTTTCCACTAATACAGAAGATGGTGACTAGCTCTGTAATCAACTAAGGCTTGCATGAGGTAGTCAATGTATTCCCAGCCTTCTCTCAGTAACCCAGATGTCATTATTATCCTTAATATTTTTTCTTCTCAACTAATGCTGAAATGTTGTAGCTTTCAAAAGATAAGTACCAACTAATTGATTTTAGGCATATATATATATGTATATATATATATATATATATTGAGCTGGAGCAACAGCACAGCGGGTAAGGCGTTTGCATTGCGTGCGGCTGACATGGAGATCCAGGTTCGATTCTTCTGCCCCTCTCGGAGAGATTGGTAAGATACTGAGAGTGTCTCGCCCTCACGGCAAAGCCTGGCAAGCTCCCTGTGACGTATTCAATATGCCAAAAACAGTAACAACAAGCCTCACAATTTGTTGTGAGACGTTACTGGTGCCTGCTAGAACAATTCGATGAACAATGGGAGGACAGTCCTACAGTCCTACATAGATACAGATATATACATACATATATATTTCTACAATGCTGGGGAGCAAACCCAGGGACTCACATATGCAAGGTAAGTGCTCTACCACTGAGCAACATCCCCAGCCCAAATATACATATTTTATGTCCACAGAAAGTTAAAAGTATAAAACATATATTTATATACTTCTCCCTTACTGTAACAGTTATTTTATATCATTATTTTGTAGTGCTAGGGATTGAACCTAGAACCTAGGGCCTTATCCATGCAATGTAACATTTATTTTAAAATACATTTTAAAATAAATTATAAAGTCAAAAAGCATTTTTTTTTGGTGGGGGGGGCTAAGAGTGGCTTTCAGGAAGTGCACAGGGGGTCCAGGGGCCACTCCTGGCAATACCAAAATGCCCAATGCTAGGATCTAGCAATGAGAGTCTGATGGGGCCTAACGGTGTTGGACCCTCCGGAGTTACACAAGGTGATGTTCTCTGTGTGTGTGTGTGGGGCGGGGGTGGGCAGGGAGGGTGGGGGGGGGGTGCTATCCATTGGAGGGTGGAGAATCAGGATAGAACTCCAGCATGCCAGGCATGACCCTGAGCCTGAGCTATCTGACTGGCCCTCAAATAGCTCTCATTATTTTTTTTAAGAACTAGGATGAAAATTATTGCAAACTAAGAAGATAAGCAAGCCGAGGCTAGATCTGGTAACAACCCCAAAGGACAAAATTAATAGAATTCATTTCATTCTTGAGAAGCCTGGGGATGAGGCTCAGGGTTAAGAGTGTCAGCCTTGCATGGGTGAAGTTACCGATTCAACCCATCTTAGAGGGCAATCTCTAGTACTGTTGCTGTGATCCCGGCACCACAAAAATGTGACCTCTGGGGCACTGCAACTAGGATATCACCATCAAGTGAGCATGGGAACTGCTGAACCAAATGTGCAACATTCGCAAGCACAGCAACCAATGTGTGGCACCTCCCATCGACCACCACTCGCTCCACCTCCCCCACCCCCCAGGAAGAGCAAAAGGGAAAAATACATTCTTGAAAAACACTTCAGTTCACTCAACAGCTATCCCAGAACTACTGGAAGAGCTGTGATTGCGTAAGTTCCACACAGACGGATTCCTTCACTACAAATCCACACAACATAGTGGTACTTGAATGCAGAAGCCCAAGAACTAAAATCGGTGAACATTAATTACCTGTTTACATACGGTTTCGCAAAATACGGTTGCCCCCCAAAGAGATCATGGGGGGGGGGACAATTCTTTCTCAACTCAGTTTTGGCCCTTTGTGAGCCAATTCACCCTTGCTCTCACTACTTAAAATGCCAGCCCAATCTCCTGTTTCTTGCATTTAGGCTTTAAGACCACGAGGGACAGATCTTGGCTCAATGGATGTCGAACTTAAACGACAAAGCGGGGAAGGGAAGATTATCAAATGAAAACCTGTAAGTCACAGACGGAAGAATTTTTAGGCTGAGGAAGTTTCTGGAATGGGGCAAAACCTGCAGCCTAAGAACTGAAGCGAACAATGGCCTAAGTCAACACCAAACGTATGAGTGCTCTGACTCTGGTCAGGCAACAAGTCCCCTACGACTGCACGTCAAACACGAGGCCTGCAATAAACCAGCCGTCCCCGTAGAAGAGTAGCTCCAGCTTCCAGTGGCGTGTTAGGGCAGAGACCACTCCGGCTCACTGAGCCCACGCTGACCTGGATTAGGGGCTCGGGGCAGGCAATTCATGAGTCACACAAGAACCCCTGTCTTCTGGTGGCAACCGTGGAGCACTTTAACAAGGGCTTTGCATTCATTATGAAAATCTTGCTGGGATTTTGCATTTACACGTGGGGCCATCAAGGGCACAAGCTGGTGGAATAACCCAACTTTTCACGGCACACGATTCCGCCGCTCCGGGGTGCCGTCTGCGCAAACGGTCCCAAGTGTCACCCTCTCAGAACTTCGCCCACACAGGAAGTGGGCCGGACACCCCCAAACCACCACCCTACCCTCACCGGAAGTGAGGGCTGTTCCCCCCCCCAGGATGGCCCTCCTCCCCACCCCCAGCCGGAAGTGAGTCGTCCCCCTTGAGCCGGCCTTGTGAGCCCAGACAAACCAACATCGACAACGGCAAAGGAGGGATCGTCTCGGGGGGCGCAGAGCGTCTCCGCCGTGGCCACCCCCACGAGAGCTCGCCCTGCTTACTGACCTGCTGACGACAGGGGCAGGCAGGGGCCTGGGGCCTAAAGAAAGTCCCTCGCACAAAGGACAATCCCCCGAGCCCCTCTCAATCGCCTTCACGCTTCTGACTCCGGCGTCTCACCGCTCGACAAAAATTCCTCCGCAGCGATTCATTTTCATGTTCTTCCCCCCCCTTTTATTTGGCCGCTAAACCAAGTTCCCACGGGCAACCTCGCTTGTTGAAGAGACTGTAAAAACCGCTCCGGCGGGGAGAAAAATGAGATATTTTTGCGATACCTTGCGAAAAATGAAGGGATTACTTTGTTCAAAGGCGGCGAAGGATTACGTGGTTACGCAAGGTGAGACTCATTTCCGCAGAGGCTTCTGGGAGATGTAGTTTTTTTTAAAAGAAATTGCCCAGGCCTACGAAACGTATTGGAACTTAAAAAAAGTTGGTCATTGCTATAGACTGGAGTCCTCGGGGAAAATCATCTGTTTTCGACGGGAGCGCGCTGTACGGGGAGGCCCCAGCCGACCCCTCGGACCCTTTCCCTCCGGAACCGGACCGGGCCCAAACTTGCCAGCACGCCGGCCCAAGGTAACCGTGGCCCCGCCCCTCTCGGCCCCGCCCCCTCTCGGCCCCGCCCCTCTCGGCCCCGCCCCCCGCGGCCAATCAGGCGCCGTCGAGGTCTCAGCCTCCGGAGGGAGGCGCGCGAGGGGCGGGGCCTCCGGCGGCTCCTCCCGCGGGGCGGCCCGGAGACGCGCGGGCGGCGGCGGGCCCGGTGCCGGCGGCGCGCGCGCGTGCTCGCTCCTCCGGGCGCGCGCGGCGCTGAGAGGAGGCGGGCGGGCCGGTGGGCTGGGCGGGCGGCGGGCGGCCGGGCGCGCGCCGCGGACTCGGCGGCGGCGAGTAGTTAGTTGTCCGGCCGGTGTCAGTCGCTCGGCGGCGGCGGCCGCGGTCACCGGGAAGCGGACGGGACGGCCGGCGATGGTGGTCCCCGCGGCGGCGTGTGCGCCCCCCAGGTAACGGGGGCGGGCGCGCCCGCGTCCCCGGCGTCCCCCTCTCTGCCCGCCGGGCTGCCGGCCGCGGGGTCGCCCGCGGGCGGAGGACGCTGACCCCGGGAGCCGGGCGGGGCGGCGGCGCGGGCTGCGGGTGGCCCCGGCGCGGCGGCTCGGACGGCGGCTGCCGAGGGGCCGGAGCGACCCCCACGGCCCCCGCCCCGCGCCCGCGGGCGTCTCGCGCCCCCCGCGCTGCCCCCGCGCCCGCGGCGCCGGCGGCCCGGGCGCCCCCCAGAGGAGGGAAAGTTGGGACCCGGCTGCGGGGGAAAGTGGCGTGTGGGGGAGCCCGGCGGGCGCCGACGGGCTGCGCCGAGGGGAGCGCTGAGGGGAGCGCTGAGGCGGCGCTGAGGGGAGCGCTGAGGCGGCGCTGAGGGGAGCGCTGAGGGGAGCGCTGCAGCCTGGCCCCGCCGCGCCCCGGAGCGTGCCGAGCTGCTCCGTGCGTGCGTTTCCTCTCTCTTTCTCTTCTCTTATTTTTTGGGGGGCCGGGTCGGGGTGGTGGTGGTGGGGGGGGCGGTGGTCTTTGGATTTGAGCAGCCCGTCAGTTTGTTGCTCCTCTGCCCTCGGGTGGTCTGGCCCGGCTCTTGCAACTTTTCTGAGGAGGACTGGACGTCTGCAGCCTCGGGTTGCCCCCTCGGCGGCGCGCGCGCCCCGGCGCCCGGGGGCAGTTTTAGGTCCTCTGACTGCCGAGGGGTGTGCGGGAAGAGGAGCCCTCCGCCGCCCACCTTTAAACGCACTTTCTTCAGGCCCAGTGCGAGTGTGCGTGCTTGTGTGCATGTGTGTGTGTGCGTGTGTGTATGTGTGTGTGTGTGAGTGTGTGTGTTCAAAGATCCAAGTTTAGGAATCTGAGCGCTGTGGAATGGAGTTCCTGGGAGGCTGACGTGAAGGGGATAATGAGGAGTTAAAGGAAAACTATGATTTCATCTTCATTGGCTTCGCTCTTCGAGAGCCTAATCCATCCCCCCCTTCCCCCCCCCCCCCCGTTAAATGTGGTGAAGGTTATACGGTGAATTAGATACATAAAAAGGCTATTTTTAGGCTATCGGGGGATGTCTGTTAACATGCTTTTTACCTGAGTTGGAATTGCCTTGAGAATGGGGGCGGGGGTGGGGTATTTATTGATTTTTGTTCAGCCACGTCGTCCCCCACTCTCCCCTCCCCCCCTTCTTAATGGGATGGAGTAGTAATGTGTGTCATCCAAGAACCCAGATGATGGCTCTGCATTGTGGAAGTGAAAAGTGAATTATCCACAGGGGTGAAACTTTCCTTGAGCAATCTTGGGTACTTGCTTCTTGATGGCTTCTCTTGTCATCTCAGCGCATTTCTAGGTAGCGCAATTCACTTACTACCTTAATTACCTTCTGAAGTGCCTGGCACTTCTCTTTGGTGACTCGTTTAGTAAATTGCAATGGTGGATAAGGTACTTTTTTTTTTTTGTTTCAAAAGATGGGATTTACAGTGTTGGCTCAGAGATTAACAGTTAACAATAGGAGCAGAATTCATACCATTGCTGGTGAGTTTTGACTATGACCAACTCACAAACTATGTGAAAAAACAAACATCTTTCCATAGCTGTCAGAGGGGAAAGGGGAAATATTTTATCATGTCTTTATTTTGCAGACTCTTAACATTACTGTATTATGTGGGGGAAATGTCAGATTGCTTTCCTGGTCTTTTTGATGTGTGGTCCGCTTCATTCCCTGCCCCCCTTTAGGGGCTTGCATCTATGTTGGGCTGGATTCCAGGATGGGAAGAAAAGTGCTTTGGTGAAAAGATAAGATTGCTTTGAACTATTTTGATACTATGACTATTCATTTTACCTAGTGATAGTGCAGAGAAACTACCTTGATAGTGGTTGTACCCTATTAACATTCTGTGACAATTTATTTTTAAGTGTCTACCCCAAGGCCCATGAAGAAACAATGCCAACTTCCTAACTATTCCCGACAATCACATTAAAAAATGTGTTCTTGGAATGCATTTTATTTGTACTTATATAAACATTTATCTTTGTACATTTATGGTAATGTAAATATTTAAGTCTGAAAGCTTAAAAACTTTTATTGGCTTATTTGCATACTTGTTTTTCAACATCTAGCACTGCCAACCATATTTGCCAAATAAGCACCAGCCATAAATTCATGCTTTGGCACATTTCACATAATAACTCTTCTAAATTGCTCCATGGTGAAGCATCATGAGATTAGCATTTGTTTCATGAGAGAGATTTGTTGTTGTTTTTAACTGTAATGATGCACTGTTTAAAAGGAACAGGTGCTGGGATCTCACTGTTTGTGTTGAAACCTGCCAGATCATATTCTTTTTGTTGGATGGATTATTTAAATAGTTTAAGAACCAAACTGTGGCCCCTGGCATGCCAAATGTCAGTTCAAGGCTCATATCATTGTGGCAGATCCCACTAAGACAGGTGTATATGATGAGTTTTATTTTCCTTTTGCTTTTCTCTTTATTGTAATTTCTGCTTCCTATAATCACCCTAGTATTCCTTTTATTAAAAGTTTTTTTTGTTTGTTTTTGATTTTTGGTACCACACTCTCCTATGTTCAGAGCTCTGACTCTGTACTCAAGGGTTCAATCCTTGTGTGGGGTTTATATGTAGTGCTGGGGGTAGAACACAAGCCAGCTGCCTACATGGCAAGCATCTTTCCTCTTGTACTATCTCTCTGACTCCACCCCAGTCCTTTTAATACTAGAGCTCCTGGGAAAGTCTAGACTCCTTCACTGCTGGTTTGTTTTCCTTGGAGAACTAGAAATTCTAGTAACTTTCAGGCCCAAAATAGTTCACATTTGTTTGACAGATATTTTGAGTGCCTTTTAAGTGGTAGGCAGAGTGGTAAGCCCTGAGTATATGTAGATTGATATCTCTTTCTGCAGGGAGAGTACAGTTTAGGAGAAGATAACTGATGATCACTAATAAGAATGTGGTGTGATATGTGCCAGAGGTATAAGCAGATTCCTATGGGTGGAAGCACAGAGGAGTATGGGTGGTAGTTAAGTAAGATTTGAGTTTGGGGAAGGTTCTGAAATGCACCTTAGTGGTTTACCTGAGCTAATCTTAAAAAATACGCAGGATTAACTAGGTTCACAATGAAAACATTTTCATAAATACACACAAACCACAGATCTTAAGTCACAGTTATTTATTTTCTAATAACCAAATTAAGAGTAAAAGAGATTATAAGATAAAGATAAAGAGATTAGTTTTAATAATATTTTAAACTTAACTGGATATATCCCAAATGCCATTTAAACAGGTTGGAGCCATAGCACAGCGGTAGGGCATTTGCCTTGCGTGCAAGCCGGCCCAGCCGAGCCGGGTTCAATTTCTCCACCCCTCAGAGAGCCTGGCAAGCTACTGAGAGTATCTCGCCTGCACGGCAAAGCCTGGCAAGCTCCCCGTGAGGTATCCAATATGCCAAACACAGTAAAAACAAGTCTCATGATGGAGACGTTATTGGGCCCACTCGAGCAAATCGATGAACAACGTGAGCACTGTGCTACCGTGCATTTAAACAGGTAATCAGTGTTAAAAATTATTATTGAGACATTTGATCTTCCCTTTTTCATGCAGAACCTTCCATATCTAGAATGTGATTTCTACTTACAACACATCTCAACTTCGATGGTCAAACTCAAATTTTTATTGGCTTGGCCAGTGAGACAGTGCTTGCCTTGTATGTGACTAATTTCAGTTTCAGTCCCTATCACCACATATGGCCCCCCCAGCACAGGCAAGGTATAACTCCTATGCACCACTCTGGAGTCTAAACAAAAACAAAGAAAAACAGGCTGAAGAGATAATACGGTGGGTAAGTGCTTGTCTGGCAGGTAGATGATCTGGGTTCAATCTCTGGTACCCCATATGGTCCTCCCAGCTCCTCTAAGAGTGATTATTGAGCCCAGAGTGGGAGTGAGCCCTGAGTGATGCCAGGTGCAACAGAAAACTCAAAAAATAAAAACAAAGCAACAATAATCAAGTGATAAGAAGTCAAAGCTCTGAATAAATAATTCACAAACTAAGCTAAGTAGCATTAACTTTATCCTAAGGCTGCAGAGTTTTAGCAAGTAAACAAACAAACAAACAAGTAAGTGCATGAGAGAATCAGATTTGTGTTTCATACCTACCATGTTGGCAGTGAAATGAATGCTAGTTTAAAGAAGGGCAAAACTGAAAGCAAAATAGGAAGCTGTTCTTAGTGAGACAGGCGATATAAGGGGAGGTGGGTATATGAGAGATTTGGGAATTATGGTAAAAAGGACATGCTGAAGACATAGAGAGATAATACAGGGGTTAAGGCCCTTGCCTTTCAGACAGTCGGTTCAGTTTCTGGCACTGCTTATGGTTCCCCAAGCACAGATAGTGAACCCAGAGCATCTCAGGGTGTGGTCTCAAAACCAAAAAATTAATAAATAAAATGAAAAGGAGAGGATAAAAATAATCAGACATTGACAATGAGCAAAATGCAAGATTAAGGCTGAATCCCATGTTTCTGTTGTGTGCTACTGACTAGAGAGAGACCTGGGAACGGAAAAGAATTCAAACCTTTTGTGCCAGGCAGACCAAAAGAAAGAAAGAAAAAGAAAAGAAAGGGGGACAGATTTGTCAGGGAAACTGAGGGAGCAAACCAAGGGAGCAGAATAATTTGTAGGAGTAGGTGTGGTCAAGACCATATTACCCCAGGAAAAGAGCTAATAAAATAAGAATTAAATAATCTCTTAAATTGGGTAATTTAAGATGCCATTTGTAACTCTATGTAGAGCACATAGTTACATTGTAATGCTTTGAGGTGGTTAAAGGTGAATGACAAATTGTAGCTGATTATGAGGGATACAGTGTTGATTTTTGTTTGGGTTCTATTCCTAGATAACCTAAGTTTGCTCCTAGCAGTGCTCCAGACACCTTGCAGTACCAAGGATTAACCAGACTCTGCATTGAAAGCATGTCC